TTTGTTGGATGCCTACTCAGTCTTGAACAGAATGTATGCTATCTCAGTAGCCATTTGATAGCTGAATGCACCTTGACATTTTGAAAACTTGAGTATGATGATCTATATTGACACTTTCGGTCATGGGTCTCGAGAACTGTTAAAAACACTTATTTAATAGCTGAACTAAACAATATTCTGAAAAAAGTTCTTATTTAGAATTGGGATATCTGAGATACCATTAGAAGTAAAAGTTTGAATTGTAAAAAAGGCACAGTTTTCACAAACGGTTTCTGCCCCTTCAGCTAATTTAGAGCTACCATGCCACTGCTTCGTGGAGTAAACGACAGGGGCAGTAACTAGATTACAGCACTAATTTCACAATGAAGTGAAATTCTAAAATCTTAGAATGATGGATGTTGAGTCGCGACTTGGCATCATAAAAAATATTTCATTGAAATAAGACCATGATAAATGATCAAAACTTTAAAAATTAATCATTTTGACAAAATCTGTAAAGTTTATGATGGATGACATCCTTGTGATCTGATCGTGAACTTAGAAATATGATATACTCTAAATTAGTTTCTGAATAACAGAACAAATAAATTACGTCCCTTGAAAATTAGTACTGCGGGGCTGAAGTCGTTCTTGTTTATTGACAAAAAAACCTAGGAATTTCAACAAATAAAGGTATGATTTATTGACTCCCACAAGTGCTATTGTAAAGCAATTAAACCCAAAGGAATAATAATGTAAAAATGCTTGTATCATATCAGTTTACATGGATACTTATTGCTTTTATGATTGGTTCATTTATCAGAATGACATATGACCTTATTACTGTGTATGATAAATTAATTGGATACAATGATTAATGACGTCATTTCCTCTATATCATATTAGTCTATACCATTACCATTACTGTGTAACCTTACTGTTTTATTTATCTACTGGCGACGAAATGATTTTGGTAATGTTGACAAAACGAATTAATTCTAAAATATAACATAAAGTTATTGAAATGTCATTTGATACATTATTCAGTTGTGGTTAGTAGTTAAATGGTATCAACTCAACAAGCGTATCGTATATATACTGAAGTAAAAAGTTATTTGTGTAAGTTAGGCTTCTTGGTGGAATATAAATCTTCCCGAAATGAACATATTGGCTGAGAGAAATGGTGCTATAATTCCCCTTAGACTACAAACAACCCGCCTCCTTGTACCAGGGTCGTGTCGTTCTGTATGACAGTGTGAACATGTTTTCTCTATAGACCGGTCATGATAATGCATGTCCTATTATAAAGGAACATGAAATGAACGTGTAAAATGACACCAAATCTCATGTTGCTATTTTTCTTCTTGACCACTCATTAATTAAACTGGACATTTGGACACAAAATGAAAAGATGTTGGTTGGTTGGTTGGTGTTGGGTTTGCTGGCATAATGGACACGATTTGACCTCATCATCAATTACCTATCCTTCATCAATAATAGGTCCAAGGCATAAAAAAAAATCCAGCAGGAAAAAGCTTGCCTGTATTTAGACTTTCATTTTTAAGATTCACACATTGATTGATACAAATGAAGGGAGATAGCTCAGGATATAACAGTGGTCTGGGTTCCAATTCCACCATACTACCATGTTTGCAGACAGCTATAACAGTCCTATGGACATTGCGTCAAAATCTCTTGATAACCTTATTTACACTCCCGTTAATATAAGTGTGGCTAGAAGTAAAGGTACTTAAAGCTGTAATCAACAGAAAAATCCCGCTTCGTTTTAAATCTATCGTTGTCTTAACACCTGATATACTAAAAGAAATACACCAATTTAAGGTTTAGCACCCTGTAATAGATGTAAATAAAGGTAGCTAAACACCTTTCCTACAGTCCATTAACACATTGACTGAATTTTGACACCTTGGTCAAGCTTTAACACCGTTAAACACTTGACGTTGATGAAAGAAGAATAAAGAGAAAAATACCTTGTTTGAAAAGTTGTTTTCTCCCACCTTTCTTAATGATGTCACGTGTCACACTCAAAGGTGAAACCGACAAGTTGATGAATTAGGTTAGTGCAGGTAATAAAAGAGACTTATTGCACTGTACGATAATCTTTTAATCCGTGCAGGAACTGCAAAGCTTTAAACCGCACATTCCGTACTGCGAGTGTCTTATATAAGTGGCCTTAGTCAGACTCCTGTCGCGTCCTTTATCTCTCGGAATGTGTATTCAATGACCTACATATTTGCTTTGTATTGAACGATTAATGAAATAAGATAGGAAATACAGAATAAAAACAACACCCAGACGATATTAATTACCTGATATTTATTTTACATCAAATCTAGCTGGTTAATCACGACAGGCTATTCAAAATATCAAGAGTTACCCCCCTTGGCTATCTTGTCAGTTTCTAATAAGTTGCCATTTTGGATTGTTTGATGTTTGTATTTCCCGCCATGGCACCATACTGGATGGTAATTTTTATACGATAGTAAAGTTGTTTAAGATGACACCCCATGTTGTTAACTTGTGATAAAATTTATTTACAACTTGTAAGAATTATCTAAATCTAATAAAATACAAATTAATTTGAAATTTGACCCATGTTCGACCATGGTGAGTTTAACTGCTGAAAGTTTATTTTAAATTTGGTACAGTTTAATGGCTAATTGACAAGGTATAGTAGTTGTAGCCTTTGGTAGGTATCATAAATGAGGCCGGGTGTCTTGGGCTGCCAGATTTCAGATGGCTTGAGATAAATTTTGAGCATTTAGATGGCTTAAATTTCACCCCAAAATAAGATTCTTCACAGGCCCGAGGTAGTGGAGGTATGGTCGTTGGGGGTAGGGGCCAACCTAATCGCCCTATATCAGATATCGACCTATGCTATTTTTGAAATGTTTCACCTAAATTTAAATAAAAAAATCATTGCACGGTTATTCAAACTGCCTTTTAAGAAAAAGCTATTAAAATTATAAAAAGAATAAAGTTAATTCCTCGCTATGATGTAAATTTGACACTTTAAAAGACCAACGACGGTAAGATATTGCCCTATGACGTAATTTATCGTCATCACGATGTCATACAGTTACCTTTAATTGATAACACGTTGAATTAGTTCTATTATCCAAAAATTATATATTTCAATAAAATATATTGGGTTGTTATCTTGAATTGAATTGCATTAAACCGTGATACCATGTAATGAAAGTTTTACATTTGATGACGTCACTGGACTAACAATCACATGAGCGATGATCCTCGCCCGTGAAGTAATAACCATGCCTTTTTAAATATTATACAGTATATCATATTATTATCATTCTATATAAAAGGTAGAAGGGTTTTATACCAAGGTTGATTTTTTACTGAGAAAATAATTATTTCATTTCGTAGGCAGACATATTTGAATATAATAAGATTCGAGTCATTTAGCCTACCAATACATGCAAGACAAGTAAGATATTATAAGGCTGATTATGTAGAATTATTCTGACACTAATTTGTGTTGTGTTGAATTATTAATATTACCCCCCTTAGCTCTCTTCTGTCTCCCTCCCTCCCTGCCTCGTGTCATGTTCTTTATTATTCATCAACATGCAGATTATATAGTCTTGATTGTCATCTATGATCATTTGTAGAGTGTTTAAAGGACTGGAAAGTTGGAAGAATCTAATTTTGCGCAATATATTACCAAGACGTAACGAAGATTTGACGCGTTGAAATATTGATGACGTCAGAAGATGAATAATTACTTGAGCGATGATTCTAACTATCACGAGGTTATAAATGATAGAATCATATTATTTGATATTTTGTCTACATGTTTGGTTATGATATTTGTTTTGTATTTGTCTTTAGCTGAGTTTTCCGCTGAACTCATCTGTATCTTTATGACAAATGGAATATCAATCTAAATGTCTGCAGGTATATTTTAGTAGGAGTCTATTATTGTCCATGCAAATAATAAGGTATTATACAGCATAAACGAAAGTTAGAATCTAAATTGAAATCAGATTATCCGAAATTCATAGGACTTTGTATATCCGTACACTAGCGTTACCTACATTTTTCTGTTTTACGTGTCCATTGACAAATTTACTTATTGACAAAAGCTGGCATGAATGAACGACGGTTTACTTCACAATAAGGCGTGACTAGTAAACTAATTAACCAATCACAGTCAATGTTGACTATCACATGACTCGTCAATCATGTAGAATTGGCTACTATGGGAAGAAGAAACCGTGAACTGGATAGAGCCTTTCTATACGTTATTGAAAGCCAGTATTAACACAATGTTCAAGTAGTTTATATAAAGATCAAGTGTGGAGTGGTAGGAGGTGATTAAACCACTAAATATTTGCCAACAAACTCTTCACAGTGGCCACGTTTATTGTTTTTTTGTGAAACCTGAAATTGGCTACATGTTTCAAGAAGATACATCGTGAAAGGGATCAAACATAATCTGCAAAGTTAATCCTCCCAGATCTGCAGTGATTGGAACATACATTTTGTAGAAGGATTTGAAGGAATTGTCAGCATACTAACTTAGTGTTGAAACGTAAATGTTGAAGAAGCAGGTATATCTATTACCTTATATTGTTCATGGATTGGAAACTATCAGAGCACTAACAGGCTTTGTAAAACCTCACAACTTTGACAGTGATTGTCTAATATAGGAACAATCTGAAAAAGAAAAACATTGTATCAGAAAAGACCTAAACCTTAAAAACTAGTTGATCGGATTAAGGTAATCCACTACCAATGATTGAATCAGCATAAATAAAGGGTGTTATTTTTATCAAACTGTGACTGAAGTTATTTATAGAAAACATTTTTGGTAAAAAAACAACTATTATTATTAAGGCTATCACGCTTGATTGGATTATTTTTAAACATAGACCTTAATTCACATTGTGACACCTCTTTTAAGTTGTCCATTATTCTTTTATTCATTATTTTACTATACTGAACCACATTCAGATCTACACATACATAAGAAGGGGTACGATCTGCTAGTTAGATGGACATTTTGGTTTTCTATGATACGGTAATAAAAGCCTTCATCTTAAATATACAAAATGTGTCTATAATATATGTACAATGTATACAGATATAAGTGAACCGATTGATGATTTGACTTATGTAGGCTACCATGATTCGCTAGCATCCTCATCTGACATTAGTTGATGAATTCTTTTACGCGTGACAAAGAAGGTAAACCATTGACAGTGATAAAGGTGACAAGTTGTATAGCGAACTTCATAATATTTCATACGTTATCAAATTCAATTGTTTGTAGAAAAGAACACTTACAGTGGAGTCGTTGATAATTTGGAGTACTGTAGTCTATGCAACGAAAGGAGGTTATTAGCAACAAGTTGACGAGATTGTTTAATATTTAATGTATCTCATCTGCTTTCTCAAGTCATAGTCTTCTTCTAGACGTTAATTTTACCGTTCTTGTTACCATTACATAGAGGTGTTTATTCACCAATGTGGAAAAAATAATTAGCAGACGTTTTTAAGGACATTTGAAATATTTTTATGAATATCTTTAAAGGTTATTACAGAATCCTGGAGATAGTGTAAATTGCCTTACAGATAATATAAGTATACAACACACTCATATCCATGGTGTGGCATTTGAAATTAAATGAGAAAAAGACAGAACAGACTTCAACATGGAACTGAGTGGGATCATTTTATGTCTTCTCTTCCTGGATTCATCGACTTCAATTCCTCTAGTGTCCAATATAGACAGAAACAGACAAAATAGACATGGTACATTAACTTCCGAATTTAAAAGTTTTAAGGTGAAATCCAGGACAATAGATGATAATATTTTACCTCTTGAGGCCCCTGGTGATAATTTGAATGACAAAACTATTTTTGTAGATGGGAATAATGACAATGTTTTATGGATCGATTCACATGAGAAATCACAACCTCAGGGTCAAGTCCTATCTACACGGAAACATTTTATACCGAAACCCAAGGTAAAGAGGCTACCACAAGCCATCATTATCGGAGTAAAGAAAGGTGGAACCAGAGCTTTATTGGAATTTTTAAAGGTTCATCCCAAAGTTAAAGCAGCAGGACCAGAGCCTCATTTCTTTGATAATTTTTATTCTAGAGGTTTTGAATGGTATAGGTATGTATTTGTCTTGTTAACTATTATAATCAATGGTCTTGGATAACGTGAACAAAATATGGTACTGTATTGTAAACACTTTAACAGATGTAATTATAAGGGAAATTTGACAGCCGGTAAAAAAGATTTGGTCAGAAAGGGTTATTTGTTTCATGGACTTGGAAGTTACGCGTCTCTCCCAGGCTCTAAATAATTCTCAAACCTGTTCAAAACCAGCTTGGATAAACTTAGCAATTTCTAAAAATGTATTTTTGCGAGTTTTCAATCAAAATCGGACCTGATCCATGTTAGACTTGGAGAGTTTTTAGCACCATGCCTCGAGGTGTACGAGATCCTCTCTTAATTATAGACGTTGTTTGGTGAAAACGTAAAATTGATGTCCCTGGGGTTATAAAGAGTAAACTGGGCTAAAATTAATGACCATTGGTTTAAGATGATAAGGTGGGTTTGACATAGGGTATAATTAGGTCACTGGGTGATGAATTGTTTGGCTTTCATGCAACAGACGACAGTTGGGCGTCTGGTTTATATTCGCAACTCGATTGTTATCTTCAGTTCAGACCGATTTTTTATCTGAACACACCAAATCAGATAAGCTCCACTTCATGTGCAAACAAAGCCATCGTGAGTAAGAGTACAAAGACAATCGGCGAGTGACACTCCGTGCCTTCCATTCACCCTGGAATACATGTATACTTCACCAGAAATATACATTTTCACACCAAACCATTGTCTAGGTTTATAGATTGTGTTACTCATAGGAGTATCGTGTATTAGTTCAAAAATAGAGATTCGGATATCCCATCGACGTAGTTCACATAAACTGAAGTTTTACAGCTTGTTATGTACAAGGCCATGATATAATGTTTAGTTAGGCGACTGTTATGCATTTGTTTTAAAATCCCCAATGGTTAGGGAAAATCGGATATAACTCTATCAAGAACATTATACAATAAATTTCATTTAAAGGGTTGATATGTACTGCAAACGTTGTCAATTCATCCAATATGAATGGTATTATTGCCCCTTAGGTTAAGTTCTACTATCAGCTGTTCAGTATAATTATTGATGTCAGGTGGGAATACAAGGCCATCAGTTGATATGATTGAATCAGGTGTCGTAGGTTCAAAACCTAGGGCTATCAATTTCAATTCAGTATAATATACAACAATAGATAACATATATAAACAGCCCGGGGGTCAGGCCATATAGGCTATATATATATAACCGATGGGAGGGCTAGATAGAGACGTGACAATCTAGTAAGAACACAAATATTCTAGTATAAAAAAATCAGTTGAATTGTAGTTATTTCAAATCAAAATATCCTGAAGTGAATAAATATTGTTGAAAGCGTTGTCTCTATGAAGAACATTGTAAATAAATAACGTGGTCTTGGTTAGCTTGATCGTTTGTGCCGTCTTTTGGGCCCTTTCCATTGTCATTTATTTTCAGTTTAGCAATAAACCCTTATAGCTTTAGTCGAATCTATCTATTTAAAAAACAGTTAAAACTTCCTCATCGACATTTTGCCTCTGAGGTTGGTAATTCTCAGATCAGATCCATTCAGATCAAGTCTGAAAAATGTTATGATCAAGGAGACCCATGATCAAGCTAATTTGGGATTTTAGCACCATGAAAATACAATCTGATTCAATTCAATTTTCCATTTCATTTCCTGTACTGATAAGAGTGAGGAACCCTGATTGTTATTTTCTCTCGGTTGGTAACTAGAGTAAAATATTGTTAACAAACCACAATCTACTCTTCTATCAGAAAGAGAGAAAAATCAATACCGGAAATCGATCATTTACCTCCTTTTTTCTCCCGATCACGTTCTATTAAAGAGCCGTAGAACGTGAGCAGTTTTTTGTCTCTTGAACACTTTCTTATTTAAATGTTTGCATTTTAATGTTTATTTCTATACAAACCATACGAAATTTTTTATTCGGCGTGTATCTTTTATGATATGTAAATCGCCATTGTCCTGGCAAATTTCTCTCCGTCACATCATGCAAATTACATGCTTTATACAATAAATAACAATATTTTGAGTGCAGTATACATGGTTAAAACTCCATTTCAGTTCATTTTGTAATAAACTTACAACCAATCTCTAATGTATTGGAAGTGAGGTCGTATATCTGTTGCCATATAATGATTAGGAAAACGAGCATCGACTTATTTCAGTCTGAAATTAATTAGTGAGCTCTTGATAACTATAATCACCTTTATTTTGAAGAGTCTTTAGTCTAGATTATCAAGTCTGAAGTATCATTGCATTTGTTCTATCAAGAGGTTGTTAAGCAGACTTGAGTGTCATGTTAATTGACTTTAAGATAATCTTTTCGCTTTGATATTGGTTCTAATCAGATGGACGATTGAATTTATAATTGAAATTCTACGATTGATCAATATGATTGCAACTAGAGAAGAAAAGTAATGAATTAGAAATATACCTTTTACATTTTCTCACTTTCAATAGCCAATAAAAGTAGTAGCAGTTTTGCTTCTTGATCTGTGTAATAATTGTAGACCTTTCTGTCCTGCATATTGCATATTGCATTGCATATATAAGTTTTGGTTGTAATATTTTACAGTGTAATGATTACACTGTAATCACGCAATCGCCCGAAATCGACATTATTGATAAACTTACCATGTTGTCTATTCTTCCGAAAATAATTACATAGGTCAGTTTGTTAACTATTTTTTTTTATAAAATCCATTTAAAACTGGTGTGTTTGAAATTTATATTGATCTTCGTTTGATCTTCCATTATACACATCTTCACTAATGACTTCAATTAAGATTCCCTAATCAATTTGTACCGAACAACCGAGGATTAAAATATTGAAGTAGTAGAAAGAAAGAAAAGTGAAGTAAAAGTGAAGTACCGCTTGTATCATAATGACCAATGGACAACATCTATAAAGTGACCGGCACACTTCCGTTGGTGTCGAGTTTTGATGACGTAGATGCTATAAGACACATGTCCAACCCTATCTTAAGATAATTTTGTCAAAAACCTTTCTTTTGACATCTCGTCTTTATTAATGTAAACCCTATCACGTCAATATCTTGACGACTTGTCATCAGTATAAACTTCTGATAATGTTGATTTGGTGAGATATCTTGACCATTGTCTATTAGCAAACCACCAACTCCAAATGCCAGAAGTTAGGAAGAAACATTAGTTAGCTGTCTGTTGTTAGACAATAGATTCAGGATTCAGAATACCAGGAACCACTTTCTGACTGAAGTTGATTGAAATCATTAATTAGTGCCAATGTCATTGATTGAAAGTGGACGATGGACATTAGGAGAGACATTAGCACTGGAACAAGTTTCAGTGATTGGGGATCTCAAGATGGCACAGTACAGTAGGAAAGAGTACGAGAATAGGCACGATAACATAACCGTTTAAGCGTTGTGTACTTTTTTGGAAAAATTTTCATCAGTAGGGAGCACATTGGGACGATTGGATATTAAATGGGACATCTTGCATTATAATCCGAAAAATTGCTGAATGAAATCGATATTTTATTCTAACCTTTTTTAAATTTGATTAGGTGTTCCTTTTCTCTTTTCAGAAATCAGATGCCCAACACAGCGGAAGATGAACTTACCGTTGAGAAGACACCACGATATTTTGTCAGTAAGGAAGTCCCAGGAAGGATTTATAAAATGAATAAAGATATCAAACTAATTGTGGTTGTAAGGGACCCAGTAACACGTGCAATATCAGACTATACGCAGAGCATCTTAAAATGGCCGAAAATGCCACCATTTGAGGAAAAGGCGTTTATAGACAACTCCTCTTGTGTCGTAAACACAACATGGAGTAAATTGAGAATTGGTGTGTATGCCAAACATTTGAAAAAGTGGCTCAAATATTTTCCATTAAATCAAATACATTTTGTGAATGGTGAAAAACTTATTTCTAATCCCGTGGATGAAATGTATAAAGTTCAAGATTTTCTCGGGTTACAAAGACTGGTGACCGATAGCCATTTTACTTTCAAAGGCAGTTGGGATTTCCCATGCCTCAAGAAAGACATTAAAAGTGACCATATACATTGCTTACGACGAAACAAAGGTAGACAACATCCAAATTTGAAACCAGAAGTGCTTAAAAGACTACGTGAATTTTATAAACCATTTAATTTAAAATTCTATCAAATGACCGGAATCGACTTTGGTTGGTGACATCATAGATGACGTGTGTGTGTTATTTATTTGTTGATGACGTGTGAGGTGTGTTTTTGTGCAAATATGTGCAGTGGAGGCACCAGCCTCTCGAAACTGGGGGTACAAATAAGGGGGGACACAACTTACTGTCGAGGCTCTAGTCGTACGACTGCAATGGAGCGTTTGGCAGGGTTCTCAATTGAAATTTTTCGAAAAATTGAATTGATTTGATGCATTCTGACATATATTTTGGGACAAAATCGTTTGTTAAAAGTAAAGTGTGGGTTGCAAACCATTTTACAATTGGGGCAAATGCCTACCTATACCCCCACTGGGGCCGCCACTGAATATGTGTATGTATGTGAAAGAGAATCTGTTATGATACATTGATAAGCTGAAAGATGAAAATACTCATCAAAGTAGTCCGTAACATATTTTGGTATGGTCTACTTTGCGCATTATATTCGCAATTATACGGTATATTAATATCAGTTTATAAACAATTAACTTGTTTGATAGAATCTGCTAGATAATGTTTAACTGCATCGAAAATTGTTACAAATTATATAAAAAGAAATTCTAACAAAATCGTCTGTTGTTATTTTCATCCAAAGTTGCATTGATTTGCCATCCTTCCTAGAATGATTTGTACTTTCTAATCTAAACAATATGTAATACTACATGTTTAATGCACAATATGTGATCGAAACCGAGCCATTGTTCGAAAGTAAGTGAAATGTGCCTTTTATTGTGCACGAAGCTTTCGTTGGCTGTCTAATGTTCAAAATATTCTCAAAGGGCAACACGAAGTCTTTCTCAAAGATTTTGAAATTTGCAAACATTGAGAAACCCATCCAATGCTAATTTACTATAGAACCTCATTCATAAGACCCCATATATTCTACATCCAAACTGGTGGATGACAGTTTTATGACCTGTAACTAATTCAAACATGTTTAGATGTTGTTTTTAAACTTGATGTACTCCACACGAGGTCAGAAATGTGATACAGAATCCTTTTGATTTCTGGCACTTCTTAGAAGGGATCTATTTGAGGCTTCTCCTCTGCAGTCGGTGGTATTGTGAGGTATCAAAATGGATGCTTGTGACATGCTTTTATTAGAATATTGAACTAAGTCTGGATTCTTGCCATCTGAAGGTTAATATAAAAAATTAACTCTGAACACATGACGCATGCAAATTCTTCGCCCAATTTTCTAACACTAACACATGAAACTCAGATAAACTACTGAAATTAATTAATAGATAAGAGTATTTGAAATCTGAAAATCAAGAAATGGTGAGAATTTGACAAGAAAATGAGGAGAAACGTGGAATTTTTATTAGATTTCAGAATGTGTATATCACCTGGTCGCCATCTTGGATAAAACTTTAATAGATTGATCGCTTGCTGGCAGCTTATAATTGGAGGGAAAATTAATATTCCATGGTCCATTTGAGTTGTAGTTGAAAGAATTTAGCGAGGTATAATGAACTTCACAGAAGAGAATTGCTGGTGGAAGAATGAATTGACCACAAGCCAGAACATTAACACCATAAAAAAAAGCGCTTTAAGGATTTTCATGGCCATTTATAAAATAGCTAACATCCTGATCTGAGAGGTCATTTTTAAGGCTATAGAGCAAATTTTTTCTTCTTTTTTTATTTTATATTTTTTTACGAAATTTGATAAGTTCATCATTTAAAATGCTTGTTTAAATGTGAATTCATTTAACGATACCTCATCAGTTTAGTTTTGAAAGGTCTTCAACTATAGGTTTGAATTTCGTTATTATGTGAAGTAGGCCTACATCCTTTTTATGGTTTTTAAACTTAAAACTTCGCCATGGTTTATCCAATCATTCTGAATCTCTGATCCTCATCATGGAAAATGCGTTCCCATTACAGGGGTATCAGCGAACAGCAGAGGAGTAGTTTAAATAGAAGCCTCCTAAAGATAAATTTGTAAAAATTTAAGTGCTATTAATCTGCTATTAAGTATCATTTTCGAATGCGACATTGATCTAAGGACCTTGTCAATGGTCTTGAACCCTGTTTCGCTCTAGATTAATGTACAATCTGACAATCAAGCAAACTATTATTGCTATCATTTATTGTTATACGATTGGATAAATTGGTGTGAAAAGCACTATCCAATTTACACAATTTTCATTTTAACTCCTCTTGAGATTTACTTTCTAGTTGTACTCCTTCCACAACAAGTCGTGATGACACGTCGCAATACGAGATTTCACGGGAATGGTCCTTGTTTCACTAAACCGTTAAACATTCAGTCGTCTAAATACCAGCTTACAAGAGCACAATTTCAGCTGTCCGTGTCATTTTGATACGCCCACATTATAATGTGGTCCTTCCACAATTGGCTTGTGAACACAATGGAGGCTACAATTTTTATATGATTTTAACGAAATATAGTGTGATCATTTATATTCATTTTTTCAACGAACGGCTGAGTTATTTCTCTTGACTAAGGGAAAACACGTCAACATTTGTTTGTGAACACAATAGAGACTACAGTTTTTATCTGATTTTAATGAAATTTGGTGTGGTCATTTGTATTGACGAGATCTTGGACAAATTCAAATTTGACGAACTTTCGATGAACGGTTTTTGAGTAATTGCCTTTGACTTAGTCAAAACGAATCAAAATTTGTTAGCTTGTGAACGCGATAGAGGTGACAGTTTATGTCAGAATTTTATTTAATTTTGTTTGTTTGTTTAAATGAACAATATTTTGCAGAAATTAGATTTTTGGTACGATTTAACGCAGATTTGTGACCGCCCTTGATATACTGAAAAAGTATCCGGGAATTGGGAGTATCTTGCTAGGCAACCACTTGTTTAGAATTCAATTTCGACGTTCCAGTCCCAGTCCAAGCTTCAATACTAATTCAAAGCGTCAACTGTCGTCACTTCAAGTAGGTCATTAACATTTTCCCATACCGATTCTCGTGATATTATGGCGACACTAATATTTCTATTCAACGTTTTAGTTAAAATGAGGTGGATATTCCAAATTTACCATTTGGCAAAGGTAATATTTAAAGAATAATATCTGAATAAATGTCTGTTGTCAAGACAGTTTTTTTAATAAAGAAGCAAGAAATACATAAATCTCATTTGGTTAGTCCACAAAGTCAGAAGAAGATTATTTTGTTTTTTGAAGTTGACTTTAAAGGTGTTCTCTATATTGTAGTCTGCATCCGGCACGACTGATGTTTCCTCGGAATTATTACCATTCTTTATACAGCCTAGACGAGCTTTCTTTCAATCCAGGAAATTTCACCGAAAGTCAATTAGTCTTAATGATTAATTAACGAGAAGGAAATCCGCGTCTGAAGACGGATTTCTTCTTTCGAATCATGACGACTCTTATAACGGGAGAGAGGATCAGTCAAAGTGAAGACAATCTGTCTTTTATTTCATTATCTTGTAATGTAAGTGAATTGCACACCGAGAATCAGCTGCTTTTGGATTATGTGTGTGGTTAACTTTTTCATTAAAAAAAACTTTGAGAATAACAGTTTTGATAATGGTCCAAAAACCTATATTTGTCCCGAATTTCATCATTTAACAGAATTTAATTAACTTTTACCGTAATGCAACCTTTCAAAAGTCTAGTCAGGGTCAATTAGTTCAACCTCTGATCCCCAAGTCAGAGAAACCACTCACATACATCATTCTTTATTAGTCACGTGACTGGATCTTTCAAGTATACCGGAAGTGATGATAAATGTTGGTGTTTGATCTCGATTTTTTTTTATCTTTTAAAACATGCAAAATAAAATTCTTTCTGTGAAGGACATTCTCCATTACCTCTGAAAAGGTGATTAAATTGGCATCAGTAATGTGTATTCATCGTCTGATATGCTCTTCCAGTTCATATTAAATCTCAACAGCATGAGGATATCCAAAAAAAAAATAGATTTGAACAACATTGACTAAAGCTCATCTTCTCTTTCGACAAAGAACAAAGATTACGACCTTCAATCCAACCACTCGCCACGACTCATTATCCGGCCAATAACTGTATGTATTGAAAGATAATTTACAGAACAGAAGTCAATTTTATGATTGAAGTCTGTAGAAATGATATTTATAATATAGCAGACGTGAAGGGTCAACTAACCCTGACCTTGCTGCAATAATTCGTAGATTGCATTCATCATCCATGACCACAAGACATGATATATTACTCATCTATTTCACGGTTAACTACATACAATCAAACCAAATACAACCTTTCAATCAAATTCGACCGTTTGCAACTATCTGATGCATCGTTTGTTCATTTTGCACTGTAAGAATGTATAACTTTTCAAAAAAATATGTCACTGGAGAACGTATCGTCCGCAAGCAGGCAATGTCTGCGTTCAGTACACGAAACATTATATTGTTCTTTTCTACGAAGTCTAATCAATCTGAATTTCCTTTTTTAGAAAAGCAGGAAATGTTACACAGGACAGGCAATACTGTTAAACTTATAATATATAGTGTTACCTCAAATCCAACCATCTTCTTACGCCCTTTTGAAAACTAAAGCATATTAAATAGCTTATTTTACATCTTCAATTGTTTGAACAGGCATATTCACATTAATCAAATTTCTATTGAACCAATTTTTGATGGTGACCAATCAATCGAACGTGCCTAGATTATAATTTCTTACTTCCGGTTACATCGAAGAGAAAGTCTTATTTGTTCAGATTTGTTGACAATTTTCACGTTCATTGGAATTCAATTCGTAGTTTTATAACTCAACACTGTTTGCCATATTGCTTAGAATTTTATTAACTGCCTTTTGTCAGATTGCTGACGTTGGTAAATCTCATTTGATAAATTATATTTCCACGAATTGAAAACAGTTAAAATCGTCTAAGATGCAATACTCGAGTTTTTATCTTCTCACTATGCCAAGGTTTATCGAAACAATGACATAATCGATTTCAAGAGTAACCGAGTCGCTGGTTATGATTTCAAGACGAACTTTTTATCACAGAGCACAAGCAGTCTGATCTCCAAGACTATTAAAATTG